AAAAAAAAGGGCACAGTGAAACCATTCATTTTTCTCATTCTTCTTTCGACTCCCCTTTCACCGTGCCTCTAACGTACAAGGCTCGCCACGTTGATGAAGTTGAGCGCGAGCTGCCCCCATCCCCGTGTGCCATAACAGCCCACTTGTACGCTGTGAGAAAGAGGCAGAGTAAAGGGAGAGGGGATAGACATAGGGAGGAGAGATGGAGAGCAGACAAACAAAGCACGATAAAGGGAAAGTAAGGGAAAGTATGGAGTGTGGAGTGAAGATGAAGGCAAAAGAGGATAAGAAAAGGCTCAAGAATGAGCCTGTCCTTGACGACAGAGAGGACATACATTGTAAGGATGAGGTGGATCAACACATGGAAGACCTAGCTGAGCATTGTCAGTGCAACAATTGCCACGACGGGTGGCATTGAGCATGCCCACCATACACCCCCGACAAATGGCATGTCGATTGCAGGCCAAAATGAAAGAAGAATGGTCACTACAAAAGAGCATGCATTCAGTATAGCGCCCATGCCCGCAAAATGGACATAGTGTTCAGATGCGGAGGGTGCCTGCAGTCAGGAACGGTGGGACAGTCCTCTGCACACATGGATGCAGAAACCATGTCATTGTAGTGATTGTGACAGAGACGATGGCGGCTACAGCCGAGTGTAACAGTGTTTGTGGTTGTGCAAAGGAGAAGGTCGCAGAGTGTTGGTACATTATCTGGCTGCAGCACGGGGCCAGAGGAATGATCTTCGACATAAAAGAGATTGCGGACAGTTTGTTGTGGCAAGAAAACAGCATCATTTTGTAAGAAATCGGTGACATCAATCATGGCATGGACCATGGTGTCGTTGTCCCACAGCTCCCAGTGGTCAGAGGCATGTACAATGGCCATGTAATGGCCAGGGCCGTGCACAATGCAGGCGAAGATGTGGGTGGAGGATTAAACCACTCACCTGCTCGAGCATTGCGTAGTTCAAGTTGACGGTCCCTCATTGCTACTTGTAGGACAGCAATGGTAAAGCCTACTTCGCTGGTATAATTACAATCCTCTGGCTGTCGTTGGGGAAGATCAGCATCAAGCTGAAGGGCGATTGCAAGGAAGTCTGATGGTATATAAAAAGGGCGGTGGAGAATGTGAAGACAGATATTAGTTGCTGCCAGACCACAAAGATTGTTGAGGTTCTCAGGCTGGTTTGTTGGATGCTGGCCCAATTTGCAGATCACTCAGATGGCGTTGCAAGCCCAAACTGTGTTGGGTTGTTTGCTGGTCAGTCATTTGCAGATCACCCATGTGGTCTGCGCGCGGCAGAGCACAAAATTGTGGTTCATCCGAACAATGCTGGTCAGCCATTTGCAGATCTCCCATGTGGTCTACGCCTTGCGGGGTCAACTGCAATCCGGGCAGATCATGTTCCAATCCCTCAACGTTTAGGGCTGCATCCTGAGTAGGGACTGTACCTGGAGTCGGGAGTGTACTCTGGGCAGCGGCTGCATCCTGAGTAGGGACTGGTGGCTGCCTGCAGGCAGCTGGACTGTCTGCAGGAGGCATAGGAGCGGATATTGCCGTTTGAAACAAAGGAACCGCAACAACCTGTGGAGGCGGCACAAAGAGAATCAGGGCAGACAAAGAAACAGGTTGCTGATCCTCGAACAAGTCACGACGCCGCGGATGTCGTCGGTGATACACAACGAGAGGAGTGGTGGTGTTGCAAACAGAAGTTGAACTTGTACCTAGCAACGAAGGTGGAACAGTGGGAACAATGGAAGCTGGAGAGTCTGTTCGCAAGTGAGAACGTGGAGGAGACGGGGGTGGTGAGGAGGAACGCAGTCGTCTATGGCCAAGCACAGACAAAGATGAGAGGGGGGTGCATTGGGCAAGATTTCGAAGCAAAGGACGTGAGCGTCGGAGAGATTGTGATGTTCTTTGCATTGGAGCTACAGGACAGGAAGCTGTAGCGGTAAGGGGAAGTACAGTTAGGGAAATTGTTGTACTGAAAACTGCAATTTTGGAAACCGCAACAGTAGAAACTGCAGCAGCGAAAACTGGAGCAATGGAAACTGGAGCAATGGAAACTGCAGCAGTGAACACTACAGCAGCGGAAACCGCAACAGTGGACACTGCAGCAGTGGAAACTGGAGCAGTGGAAACTGCAGCAGTGGAGACTGCAGCAGTGGAAACTGCAACACTAGACACTGCATAAGCGGAGACTGCAGCAGTGGAAGCTGCAGGAGTGGGGACTGCAGCAGTGGAAACTGCGGTAGCAGCAGATGAGCAAGCAGGGGCAGGACGAGAGTATCGTGGGGGTGAAGAAGAAATTGGATGATACAAGGACCATCGCAGCATGAGTCAGAACCACTGAGAAAGACGCATCACATGCGTAGGGTAGCGACGTTGGCGGGAGCGCATGTAGCAGGTCCAGCCCTTAGCAAGGGTTGGTGGGGAATGCCCACGCGAAAGCATACAACGAGTAAGTGTTGTAGCCGCAGTTCGAAAGTCCTGCCAATTGTTTCAGATTTGTTCAAATCTGGTCAATTGCCCAGTGAACACACCAGCCGGTTGATGGGAAGGGATGTTGGAGGTCGCACTTGGATAACGAATGACAAGGAAGTCCCAAGCAACCGCTTTATCAAAGACGCTCATGCGAAGCGAGCCATCAGAACGGTCCCGTAGATGCATACCTAAAAAGGTACAGGAGCCATCTGTAGCTGTAGTCTCCTTCCACTCAAGCCCATAGTGCTCTGGTGGAGGAGGTAATTGTCCCCATGAAACAACATCATCAATGAAGCGATAGGTGAAGGCATATTGTTGAGCAGCTTGAAGATCATGTTGACGAATGTCATCGACAAAGCGTGCTTCATCCCAATATAGCGTCAGATTAGAAATTTATGGGCCAGCATTCGTTCCCATTGGAATACCGATAATTTGTTTCCGAAGCGTGCCATCTCTCGTATATAGAAAAGTGTTTTGTACAACAAAGCGAAGATGTTGGAGAATTTGAGAAACAGAAAGGGTATCCGGGCCTGAATCAGTTGTCCATTGGCCACAACGAGGTCCTCGAATAACCATGTTAAGGGCAACGCAGCGTGAATGCGTGCGAGCTTGCCGAAGGGCATAAGCATGAGCTTCATCAACAACTTTTGCCACATTATTCAAAATGCGGTCACGAGGAAGGTTGGTGTACATTGTGTTAAAATCAATAGTGCGAGGAGAGCGGCCACAAAGAGACGATAGTCAATCGCCACTTCATCGGCACTCTGAACGATCCAGCACCGTCGAACACCAACCTGTTGATAGAGCTCAGTGTCTTTCTCGCGAAGAGTAGAGATCATTCCTTGCAAAGCAGCGCTGAGATACGACGAAGTAGTCGTTGTGCTAGCCAAGGGTTTGTGAGGAGGCCGTTCATAAATGGTGCGAATTGTTGGACGAGGGCGAGCAAGCAGGGGAACAACACTGTTATTTTGTGCTGTGACTCCAAGAATGCTACGAAGAGTTGGAGGAGACTTGTGAGCTTTGAGTACATAGTAAAGGTAAGGTAGGGTATTAGTGTGGGTGTAACCCCAATGGTGATTCCACACTGCATGGTGGTCAAGGACATCAGCAACGGACTCTTGAGGACGAGTATAAGTGGGACTGTCCAAATGGGTAGAGAGATGAAACATATACCAATTCTTGTAGCAAATTGCCAAATTGTGTGATGTTTTGTCCACAGGGACAATGACAAAGTGTTGTTGAAGATGGTGCAAGGAGGCATGTGTAGAACGTAGTGAACGTGTCTGGCTCACATGATTGGAGAGCGAAGATGCATTGGATCGACAATGCGCAAGGATTGCAGAACGCCAGTTGTTCAGGTTCTGAGAAAGAGACGAGAAAGAAGCATACCGAGAATGCCCGACCAACAACCTTTTGTAATTGGCAATGTACTCATCTAGTCCAATTGCCAGTGCCTGGAACACATCGGCAGTTTCCCCATTCAGCCGATACTTCGAGCCTTCTTGAAAAAGCTTGCGAAGGCTATCATCGGAGATGATATTGTAGTCAACAGACACAATATGACCATCCACAAGATCAGAACAATGTGGAAAGGCTCTGCGGCATTCGCAATCAGAGGAGTCGGGTAAGGTCATGCCAGGAGTAACACTCAAGGCCACATCAGTGAAGTTACAAAACTGGACACGCGTGGGTGGCATCAGTTTGTCACATACACGAACATGTGTGGCTGCTCGAGGGTCGGGGTGCAATGCAACTACATCCGACAATTGTAACACCTGGCGCAAGTTTGTAGCACGAGCTATCTCATGCGCATGTACGACCTTGATGTGCTCAGTAAATGGGTCACGAGGCTGTGCTGTGTAACGTTAGCGGGTATGCTGCGATTTTCGGATGAGGCATTCGAGTTCTCGAATGTCTGTTGTCATGTCTGCATTGAAGACATTATTGTAAAGCCATTGCAAAAGTCGTACCCGCCATGCTGGTGCTGCTTGCTCAATATCAGCTTTGACACGACACCAATTACCCGAAACAGCTTCAGTGAGAAGGCGATGCAGTGAGGTACGAATCATAAGTTGGGGACCCGAACGGAGATCAACAGCAAAGGACCTAACCGAAGGTGTTGGCAAGCGAGGTAAACAGTGAGGGGGTGTTGGCAAGAGAGGTAAACAGTGAGCGGGTGTAGATAAAAGGGGTGCAGCATAAGAGCCAACGGTGTTGGTAAAAGGGGTGCTATGTGAGAAGGATCAGCCGGTGCAGGAACGGATGGAGCAGCAATAGATGTGGTAGGGAGGGAAACAGGAGGAGCTAAGGCATGAGGAGGTAGAGGGGGCTGAGGAGCAAAGGGACGAGGGCCCATTTGTGTCCAACGATGAGGGCAGAAGTGTCGTCGTGGAGACGGCAGTCTAGCCATTGGAAGGACTGCATTGAAACTGACCGGGTGAAGAGTCCGAAGTTTACGAACCCAAAAACCCTCGCGGGGTGCAGCAGCCCGCCGAAAGAGGGCATGATCAACAAGATCTTCAAACGTCTGATAAAGGGTAGGATCAATGCATTCCAAGGGCCAAGCAGCAAAGTTGAATGCTGGTTGCCCACACATTGCACGGTAGAGATTGCGGTGGCGAAAAGCAGCAGAAGAGCGCCGTGTATGCCAATGCTCTCGCAGTCGTTGATGTGCAGAATGCATCGTCTGTCCAACATAAAAACGTCCTGAAGGCAAATGAACAATTGCATAAATCACTCCTCGAACAGTGAGGGGGTCCATACCTGGTTCAAGGGGTTGTTGATCAACACCTCGCAGTTGCAACTCAAATCCTCTGCCTGCACAACACTGTTAAGAAGACAGAGTTGTTTCTTGCGCCAACCTCCTGCAGAATACAAGTGAGTATTCCACTCCAGGTGTGCACGCCAATCTACACGATGAGAGACAGATGCCTGACGGTTTGACATGCGAGCATGAGCAAACGAAACATAGTGTCCAAGAGGAAAGCTTGGTATAGCACCTGCCATGCCAGCGGCAGGAAATCTCCCAAGAGGGGTGGGAAGTATCGGGGTAGCCCCTTGATTATTCCTTAGTTGTAAATTCATTGTTGATGGGTTATGGAACAATTATTTTTCGATTTTTCAATTTTCCAATGCAAAGAAATGGAGGTGAGTGCACAAGGTGAAAGGACTTTAGGCCCGACGGCTCAAGTCGGGATCCTGTCGTCGTCCTTTTTGTCTGTTGTTGTAACTATGTACATTCCTGCTGTACATTCCTTGTGTACAATCCGTTTTGTTTATTCGTTGTGTACAACTGTTATGTACTCTTTTTCCTTCCGTGCACGATATGATTGTGATGGCGGTCAGCGCAAGGGCACGGGTTGTACCCCTTTCCCGTGCAGTGGGTATAGTTACGGCCCGCCTAAGGTTGGCCACACCCGGGCGGCTGCCCCCATACCCACTCATCTTGTTCCATGTTCTTTAAGATAATCCTTCTACGCTGGTTTATGCATGTGTCAACTGCTTGGTGACATCTTTTTATGTAGGCACTGTTGGTCTGTCGGTGCATGTTTACGAGTTGCAATCCCTCGTTCCTGGAGCCTGGTCCCACTGATACCAAGGTGATCTGTAGCGGTTTTTTTTTTTTTTTTTTTAATAAAGAAGGGAGATGGCCTTGAGGTATTATCCTCATCATTAAACTGTGCAAGCAAGTCAGAGCTGATCCAACTCAAAGTGGGACATGGGTCCGACTCAAAGCGACAAATAGGGCCGCCTCGCTGCACTGCTCTCCGAATGTGCAAATTGAGAATGAATCTTGCGGCTAGAACATGGAGAGATGCACAACCATATTTTTTGTGTCTTTTGTGCATGTGAAGAGTCGTGGAGCGAAGCCCCATAACCACAGACATGAGCAAACATGCACACCAAATATTTGAGAGAAATCTCGAAAAGATCTCCAATAGGACACATAGGGGCTCGTTAGACACTCCTCGGGCGCGTGAATTCCCCGAGGAAATCATCATTCCAACTATCCTCGAGGAAAAAAAAAAAAAAAAAAAAAAGTGAAAACATTTCCTCGGGGAATCCTCGGGGCATCCTCGGTTGATGTCGTCCACCGTCGTTCTCCCTCGCACTGCGTGCAGCCAAATGGAAAGGGGGCGGACGGATGGAAAATTCAAATATTTGAGCCAATCGAATTTTCTATTCCCAGCTGTGCTACATGACGCGAGACATGACAACATTGTTTGTTGGATTCTCCAGTCTGTCGTTTGTCGCCCTCGTCTCGTCGCCGTTTGTTGGAGCCGTACCTGCGTGGTGCAGTTACCGCCCTTCCCCATGTGTCGTTCATGGTCGACGTCTTCCGAAGACTACCGCTGTTGTTCCTGGTCGTGATCACACTTCTGCTAGTCGTCGTCTTACACGCGTGCATCCTCTGTAGGCTGCCTGGACGCATGTGCAAGAGGCATTCGACGAAGGGCGTCATCATGGAAGGGCGGCAGGCTCCAGTGGACCGATTCGCAAGCTACGGGCCACGCAGCATCCCGACATCCAATGCAACACCGTACAACCCGTCTGCATATGCGCAACTGCCACCGCACGAACAACTTCTGCTCGACACGTCAGATGAGGAGGCAGTGGAAGCACGGTCACGTACCGTGGCACAGGGAAGCGGCTCCACAGAGGAGTGGGCGGGCAGCCAATTGTATTGGAATCGTGAGACGACGTCTTGACGGCCTTTCACCGAACTACTCGAAGATGACATGCACGAAAGCAACAATGCAGCCGGCGTGAAGCTTTCATTTGGGCTGTGTAGCGAGAGCTCATCGGCCACCACGCGTACTATCCTTGTCAACCCCCACCCAAACGACGACGCGGGGCAATTGACAACAGCCGACCAATCTGCAAAGGCTCCGAGCGGAGACTTGGTGGCAGCAGAGAAGACAAGGGAGTGTCCGCGAGTGCAGTCGCTGGCGTCATCAGCACCACGTGCTGCTGCCGGTCATCCAAACTGGATGCAGCCACCATCGCATTTGTCGGGGGTTGGAAGCAAGGCGAGCCGCACGGCTACCTGTCTGCCGACGAACGAAGATTCCGTGGGCGGTCCTGGTGAGTGGGTCGGGAGGCAGGTGTGGGCGGAACATCAGCAGTAGGTGCGCCGAAAACGTGAGTGAGGACGGTGAACGGCAGGACGATGAGACGTCCCATGTGAAGGTGGAGGGATGTGCTGACGTGCACTCGCCCAGGTGCGGTTGCGAGTTCTCTAACGACATCCCAGATTGTGGTCTCTCCGCAATGTGTGACAAATGTCGACGGGGAGGGGAGAGAGAGGGAGAGAGAGTGAGAGAGAGAGAGAGAGTACGAGAGACATATAGAGCACGTGCACGCACGAGAGAGAAATAGAGAGAGGGAGAGAGAGACCACGTGCGCGCACAGGAGAGAGAGGGAGAGAGAGACCACGCGTGCGCGCACGAGAGAGAGAGGGAGAGAGACCACGCACGCGCATGCGAGAGAGAGAGGGAGAAAGACCACGGGAGTGCGCGCGCGAGAGAGGGAGAGGGGGAGAGACCATGCGTGCGCGCGCTCGCGCGCGCGCGCGAGAGAGAGAGAGCCATGTTAATGCAATGGGAAACTATTCGAGGTTTTCACCGATGGAATGTGGTGTGTTCGCAATTGCATGCGTGGGGTCTTTGTGCGATCGTGATGCATGCAAGACCATTTTTGTGATGTATGCTTTACATTGGTGTTTGTTGTGCATGTGATTGTTTGAGTAAATCCTCGTCCTCGTGTGCCATGCGTTCGTTAGATTCACCGTCCCACGTATCGTGATGGATGAGCTATGTCTGTACTTTCGAAAAAATGGACATCACTCTTCAATTGTCGACAACACAGAGGTGACATGCATTGGGCACTGAATGCCTTTTGTTTGGCACATGACCATCACACTATCCACACGAACGCGACAATAGATGCGAAATCACAGGCAGTCGCTGCGCTAAATCGCACGAGAACTTTTCGAGAAAACACACAACACGAACAAGCAAGCAAGAAGGCGCACATGCATGCTTGGGAAGCACATCCACCTCCAACACAATGTCGTTTTAACCCATATGAACATGAGATAACATTTTGGCTCGTGCGTTTGGAAAGAACAAAGCACAACATGAAAGGTTGTCCAAAGAACCAACAGACTGTCGTGTGCAAGAGAAGTTCGTTAATCGGATGTCTTAAAAGAACACAATTACCCACAGAGGGGTTGAATGCCATGCGCAGAATTGAAAAAGGTGAAATAACAATGGCGACTGAAGAAAACTAGCCAACCGACGACAGATGGCTGCGACGATCATCTACCAAAAAATTGCAGCCCATGACACGTGTGTAGGTCCTAGCGTCCAACGAGGCCCACACAAGACTGCATGTCCGCTACGAAGAGGCAACACACTACCCACACGATGATGCGAAAAAGAACATTGGCGACAACATGTGATCACGAACATCCACCACCCCGATCCGACAACATGAACACGCAACGCTATGAATACAGACGACGTTAACAAACTCTGCCTCCGGATATGCCGTCACAATCACTCCCCTGTCGAGCGTCGTCAGAGGCCACCCATCCTCTCGGTTAATGCGCTCCTCAGAATTAGCACATCTCCTGTCGAGCTCTCCATGCACCCCGGCCTCAAGGGACGCTGGATCTCGAGATTCACATGACAGCGCACTCGCATCCACCTCCCACAATAGATTGTCATCAAACGGGATGCCGGCGTCGATGAGCAGGTTGTGGAGAATGCAAACAGCCACGAGCCGTTGCGGCAACGTCTACATGTTCGTCTTGTGTGACCGCAGGAACAACCTCCACATCCCCTTTAGTCCGCCGAAAGCCCTCTCAATTGCCCCCCTCGCGGTCTTCTGCTTGTTGTCGAACCACATCAGGTGACGAGTAGTGTAGCCATAGGGAACGCCTATCCATTCAGACGGTGGGTAACCATTGTCGCCCAGCAGGTAGCTGTTCGTCTAGACGCTGAATGGCAGCATCACAGGCGGTCCCATGAAAAGTTTACTGGCCTTTGCATACGCCCATAGACTCGATGGGTGGATGATCCAGACGTCGTGGCAGCTTCCAGGATAGCCGACGAAGACGTCCAGCACACGCAAGTCTAGATCGAGGACGACCTTCGCGATGATTGAAAAACGACATTTCTGATCGTAGTAGTGCTCACTAGAGGCGTTTGCCGGCTTGTCGATGTAGATATGCGTGTAGTCGATGCACCCATGGCAGATGGGGAACCTCTTGCCAGTGAAACCACGGAGGACAACCGGCTTGCGCACCCCCATCGGCCATGACATCTTCTCACGGTAGACCGTGAGCAACGCCGCAGTGACGTTCTGCACCTCCACCAAACCGCTCTATCGATGCCGAAGTTACACGTGTTGCTCTCGTAGACCTCCCCCGACCCCACCGATACAACGCGTACGAGACGATCTGATCAGGCTGCAGCGGTTCCCTGTAGAGCGTCACACGTCGCTGTAGGAACAACGACAGGGCTTCCGCAATCTCCCAGAAGACAAGTGGCAACATGCACAGCTTGTCCCAAAAGTAGTCCTCTGTGGCCCTATCGCATTGACGCAGATCCTCCCACGCCCCGCCCGTCCTTTTCATTCACCACCTAGGCGTTGCTCTGCAACCCAAGGTGCAGCACGCGTGAACGACGGCATCGCAGATGGCGGCGATGACCAACCCTTCCACCGCCGTGCACTGCATCACCTTCCTCCTCCGCGCGCGGATCTGCGCTTTCATTCTCCCCGACAGCCTCTCCACCTGACAACGAAAGTGGACCGCGGAGATAGTTGCTGCCACTTTCGTCCTTTCCGCCGTCGTCAGCTTCCCACCGCCGTCACGGCCGCCGCCCTCCATCGCTCCCAAACGAATCGAAGACATCACCGTCAAGGATGGCAACAGACTCCGCCCAACTTCCACCGGACCACCAAAGCGGACGACTGGAATAGGACGCTGATCACGCAACAAATGACGTTGGAGCAGCCTGCACAACGCCATCCGCCACTCTCCGCACACAAAGGGCCCGACGACTGCCGCAATGGCGTCTTTTCCACTAACATCTTCCTTGCCTGGCCGCACTCGGTACTCACGCAACCCCACCGACGCATTGTGGAAGGCGGTTCCTTTCCGACGTCTGCCAGCAGCCGCCGCAGCCACACGACGACCACCCTCACCCAAGCGACGTCATTCGAAATTTGAATTTCAAACCGGGACGGCGTGCGGACTTTTTTGTTTGTTTAATAGCTTGCCGCGAAGATTCAAATTTTGGCACCACTCGAAGCTGGACCGCGCCCCTCCACACGAACAACTGCCCATGGACCACCTACCCAACCCCACCCCGCGGTCAGCAATAATATTATGCGACTGCCACGAGCACTCGGTAGGAATCCTCCTCGGAAGGCCTTCCCGAGGGTAAGTGGAACGACAGCTGGAATTCTCTTGAACGACCCGAAGGAAAACTCCTCGGGCCCGAGGACGCCCGAAGGAGTGTCTGAGGAGCCCCAGAGTCACAACACCGAGATCGCCATAGCGAGCTCTATGGCTTCCGACCCACCCTCCCCACCAAGAAAAACCTGAATGAACAACCAGATGGAGTCGTAGACTGGCAATCCCTACGTGGACGGGGCCCAGGTAAGGGGCCATATTTCCGTTGTGATATACATACGACGCTAGCCACTATTCCAATCAGCCAATCAGATAATTGCGCCCCTTTCCTTCCTTGACCCGCACACGCCACAAGACTGCCACTACCGTTCCAAGCTGTAGTCCCATTCGGGAAAATGACCTCACCCGAAAAGTTTGGGGGTCTGGCGCAGGGTCTGCACAAAAGAAAAGAAAACGAAAAGATTGGGACCTTGTGAGTCAACGGTGAGGGAGTGGGGGGGGGAAAAAAAAAAACCTCACAACTTCGATCCATCGAAGTTGGGGAAGGCGCCCTCATGGAGGTGGAAGTCACACCAGTGCTTTGAGGAATGTATCTCGCCCGCATGTGCAGAATGTGTGGAATGTGAGGGCTGATGAGGAATGTATCTGGCCAGCATGTGCGGAATGTGTGGAACATGAGTGCTGATGATTTTCGGGGCGCAACTTAGTTGCCCCACTAACGTTGTTGTACTCACATCAGCACTCTAGCGTGCTGTATCTGACCGCGATCACAGAATAGGGGAAGCTCTCTTTTTTTTTGTTTCTTCAATTGTTTTCATCTGACAGACATGTCGGGGAAGACCCTCACGGAAGTGAAAGTAATACCAGTGCCTGAGGAATGTATCTGGCCAGTAAGTGTGGAGTGGGAGTGCTGAGGTTTGTGTTTTTTTTCTCCTCCTTGTTTTTTTGTTTTCTTCTCAAACCCTGCCAACGAGGCAAGGCGGATTCCACGGAGGGCAACTTGATTGCTTCACTGACGCTGTACTCACACCAGCACTCTAGCATGCTGTATCTGACTGCAATCACAGCATAGGGGAAACTCTTTTTTTTGTTCTTCATTTGTTTTTGCATGGGACAAATGCCGGGACAAATGCCCCATCTGAGGGCACAGTCTCATCACCACCGCATGGAATGCATCTGATGGCTATCACGGCGTTAGGGAAGTTTGTTTTTGCTCCCTTTTTCTTTTTTTTTTTCCTTCTTTTTGTTTGGATGTGACGGCCTTGAGTACCAGAAAAGAAAATACAATGGAACCCAGGCTCGGCAAAACTCGGTGCACAGTGAAATTCAGGTTCGGCAAAAACAGGCTTGGAGGTGGTGGTGGACCCCTTCTTCTTTTTTCCGTTTTTCCTTTTTTTTGTTCCAGCACCCTGTTCAGATCTCTCTCTCTCTCTCTCTCTCTCTCTCTCTCATGGAGAGATTCGTGCTTTCCCAAGTTCGTTTTTGTTAGCGGACGTTGGCTTCCCCGACCAGTGGAGCGAGGCCCCAAAAGAACCGGGAGTGCAAGGAGGTAATGATTAAAGCACCGGTACATTCCCCAGCCATTTAGCCAAAACGAAGCATCCAGGCAAAATGGGTTGCACTGGGGTGCCTTTTCGCCCGAAATGGGCATAAAATCCAAGCAGGCAAATCAGGTCGAGCATTCGCCTAACGCCCAAAATCCATCCGGGCAAAATGGGTTGCAAGGTGAAATCCATCCAGGCATCTGGGAAATTAATATGATGAAGGGATGAGATCTCTGCCGGGTTCGTAAAGCCCTGAAGCCCTATGGGTGGCGGCGCCATCAGAGGGAGTGGGAGACTCACTAGTGGCGGTGGGAACGTTTCCCGGGCGCGAAGGGTAAAATAATTTTCAGCCATAACCGTGTTTGGAGTTACAGTGTCGTTTACTTTCTAAGAGTGGCGGATCCTCAAGAATAGGAACAGTGACACAGGGTCACCCATGCCTTGAGTGGTGCAGGGAGTGTTCTACCCCCGACTTTGTGCCACCTGGAAAATCTCGCTAGTATCTTCTCCACTCATATATTATGTGGCCACGGTTATCCACTTCTCCCTCCCTTCAAATTCCCTTGAACTCTCTTTATGGGGCTGTTTTCTTGGCTGTTCTCAATTTTTTTTTAAAATGGGTTGCACCAGGTGCCTTTTCATCAGAAAAAGGCACAAAATCCATCCAGGCAAAACGGGTTGCACCGGGGTGCCTTTTCATCCGAAAAAGGCACAACATCCATCCAGGCAAGTCCAGTCACGCATTCGCCAAGCGGCCAAAGCCCATCCCGGCAAAACGGGTTGCCAGGTGGAGTTCTACCCAAGGGGCAGGGCAGTTTTACCTGAAACGGCTCAAAATCCATCGAAGAGGAGTGGGCCTCGCATGCCAGGCAAGTCGGGCCTCACCTCGCTTGCATGCATGGATGGATTTCCAGCGACACAGCAACCCCATGCATCCGCCGGACGGAGCAGCATGTACAGCACTTTTCTGGAAAATGGCTGGGAGATGTACTGGTGTTTTTCTTTGCCTCGCATGCATGCCAGGCATGCATGGATGGATTTCTGGCAGCACAGCACTGTCTGGGAAATGTACTGGCATTTTTTTTCTGCCCCGCATGCATGCCAGGCAAATCGGGCCTCGCATGCGTGGATGGATTTCTGGCAGCACAGCACCCCCATGCATGCCCCCCGATGGTGGTTTAAGGGCAAAAAAAGGGGTCGTCCAAGCCACATCTGGCCTGCACTTTTGGGCTGCACTGTCACCTGACATGCACCCTGCACTTCCTGGCAGCCCACCATTCCGCCTCCGACAACGCACAGGCTGGCCGCATCATTTCTCTCTTCACAAAATGCCTGTCATCCTGCACGACCTCTCCATGTCCAATTTTTTATTTTTTTCTTTTCTTTTCCTTCCTTATTTTCAAAAGGGCGACGGCGTACTACTGTTCTTTCGCCTTTCACAAAAAAATACCATGGGACAAGGTTTTGGTTAAAAACAAAACAAAACGAAAAAAAGAATACCGCAGGCTGAGCACACTGATGCTGCGTCGAAGGGCTATTTAAAAAAAAAAAAAAAAAAAAAAAAAAGAGGAGAGGTGACAGCCTAAAAGATCATCATTGCAGTTGACTGAACCTACCAGCCCCAGGTAATTCAGAATGATGTTTTTCTATTCATCGGACAGTAGCTGGACTCGAACTTGGATCTGTATTTCAACACTTCATGGGGTGTACCAACTGAGCTACGCCCGTTGGGCTCTTTTTTCTTTTTCTTCTTTTTTGTTTGGTCCAAGGGGGTTTCTTTTCTTGCATAACCCACACAATGCCAAAAAAAACAAACAAAAGGATCTCCTTCGGCGCGGCCGCACCATCACTGCGACTGGCACGCTAGCGTTAGGTCATAAAGACGCCTGCCCTCAGCAGGCCTAGTTGACGACGAGAGTTCCGCCGTCGAAGGATTGTCGTACGTGACGCCCCATTACACTTGTCCTAGAGGCTTCAGCAACTAGATTTTCCATATCCGCCCTCAGAACCGTCACCTTCTCTGCTATCAAATCAATTTCTTACAAAGTTCTCTACTGGAGGACACCCTGACAGAATTGAGAGGACGCTCCTACAGAGTGTTCATAATGTCTTTGGCCCTGCAGCCTCAAACCCCTTTCCTGTATTTGGCCTGTGAATGCACCGAGCCTGGAATAGGGTCTAGGTTCGTTTCACAACATAGTGAGGTCCAAGTCTCCGACTTAGCACAGTATAGAATTCTATAGTATTCAGAGATTTTCACTCCGGATATTTTGTTTCTCCGTTTCTCTATTTGGAAATTACGGACAAAAGCTTTCAATGGCATTTGCTTATCTTTTTTTTAATCATTTGTTTTGAATTATTAAACCACCAGTACCTACCGGTTGTCAAGGCCCTACCCTAAAGCTACCGGTAGGCGTAACCTACAGTTACGGTGACGAGCCTCGAAGTACCGGTACTTCGAGGACATCAAAATTTCCTCACAATAAATGTGAACAAAATCAAAAGAAAAACAAACGAAAAAACAAAGAAAACTTCAAAAAAAAAAAAAAAGGAGAAAGGACAACAATATTGAGAAGAACGGAACCATTCCCCATTACAGGAGAAGATTTTCTGTTTTGGAACAAAACCCCTGTTCGAAAACAGAATGAATCTTCCCTGATAATGGGGAATGGTTCATTCTCGTGTAGTGCTTGAGCTGTCTCTTATACACATCTAGATGTGTATAAGAGACAGGAGAGAGAGAGTCGGGCTGCACTCTGTCGAAATGTGCAAAATGAGAGTGAATCTTCCGCTCGCAGTCTCGGCGGGCTGCGCGGAGCACCCCGCACAGGCCGGCGATACTCTCTCTCTCTCTCTCTCTCTCTCTCTCTCTCTCTCTCTCTCTCTCTTGCGCACGCACGTGCGAGATTCGGGTTTTCTCAAGTTTGTTTTGCTTTGTTTTGTTTCGTTTTTTTTTTTTTTTTTTTTTTGAAGCGACCGGGCGTTGGCTTGCCCGACCCCCGAAAGTCGCGGCGCGTTAATGGCTGCGACTTCCAAAAACAACGGGGAGGTACCA